GCACCAAATAAATGAGCTTTCAATGCATCTCAAGGATCTAGAAAATCTGCAGCAAACCAGACCCAAATCTAGTAGGAGAAGAGAAATAATTAAAATCAGAGAAGAAATAAACAGGATTGAATAAAAAAAAATTACAAAAAATCAGCCAAACGAGGAGCTGGTTTTTTGAAAAAATAAACAAAATTGACACGCCATCGGCCCAACTAACTAAAAAAAGAAGAGAAAAGACCCAAATCAATAAAATCAGAGATGAAAAAGGAAACATAACAACAGATCCCACAGAAATAAAAAGAATCATCAGAAATTACTACAAGGACCTGTATGCCAGCAAACAGAGAAACCTATCAGAAATGGATAGATTCCTGGACACATGCAACCTACCTAAATTGAACCAGGAAGACATAGAAAACCTAAACAGACCCATAACTGAGACAGAAATTGAAACAGTAATAAATGCCCTCCCAACAAAGAAAAGCCCAGCACCAGATGGATTCACTGCTGAATTCTATCAGACATTTAAAGAAGAACTAACTCCAGTTCTTCTCAAACTATTCAGAACAATCGAAAAAGAGGGAATTCTCCCAAATTCTTTCTATGGAGCCAACATCACCTTAATTCCTAAGCTGGAAAAAGATGCAGCATTGAAAGAGAATTACAGACCAATATCCCTGATGAACATAGATGCGAAAATCCTCAACAAAATACTGGCCAATAGAATACAACAACACATCAGAAAGATCATCCACCCAGACCAAGTGGGATTTATCCCTGGTATGCAGGGATGGTTCAGTGTGCGCCAATCAATCAATGTGATATACCACATTAGCAGACTGCAGAAGAAAAACCATATGATTATCTCAATAGATGCTGAGAAGGCATTTGATAAAATACAACACCCTTTCATGATGAAAACTAAGCAAACTGGGTATGGAAGGAACATTCCTCAATACAATCAAAGCAATTTATGAAAAACCAACGGCCAGCTGGCACTGCAGCTCACTAGGCTAATCCTCCACCTTGCAGCGCCAGCACACTGGGTTCTAGTCCTGGTCGGGGCGCCAGATTCTGTCCCATTTGCCCCTCTTCCAGGCCAGCTCTCTGCTGTGGGCAGGTAGTGCAGTGGAGGACGGCCCAAGTACTTGGGCCCTGCATCCCATGGGAGACCAAGATAAGTACCTGGCTCCTGCCATTGGATCAGTGCAGTGCGCCGACCGTGGTGGCCATTGGAGGGTGAACCAATGGCAAAAGGAAGAGCTTTCTCTCTGTCTCTCTGTCTCACTGTCCACTCTGCCTGTCAAAAAATTAAAAAAAAAAGAAAAACCAACGGCCAACATCCTATTGAATGGGGAAAAGTTGGAAGCATTTCCACTGAGATCTGGTACCAGACAGGGATGCCCACTCTCACCACTGCTATTCAATATAGTTCTGGAAGTTTTAGCCAGAGCCATCAGGCAAGAAAAAGAAATTAAAAGGATACAAATTGGGAAGGAAGAACTCAAACTATCCCTCTTTGCAGATGATATGATTCATTATTTAGGGGACCCAAAGAACTCTACTAAGAGACTATTGGAACTCATAGAAGAGTTTGGCAAAGTAGCAGGATATAAAATCAATGCACAAAAATCAACAGCGTTTGTATACACAGACAATGCCACGGCTGAGGAAGAACTTCTAAGATCAATCCTATTCACAACAGCCACAAAACAATAAATACCTTGGAATAAACTTAACCAAGGATGTTAAAGATCTCTACGATGAGAATTACAAAATCTTAAAGAAGCTCTCTGCTATGGCCTGTGAAAGCAGTAGAAGATGGCTCAAGTCCTTGGGCCCCTGCACCAGCATGGGAGACCCAGAAGAAGCTCCTGGATCCTGGCTTCAGACTGGCTCAGGTCATGCCATTGCAGCCTTTCAGGGAGTGAACCAGCAGATGGAAGACTTTTCTCCCTGTCTCTGTCTCTCTGTACCTCTTTTTTTTTTAAAAAAAAAAGAGCAAAAATGAAGGGTTAGAAAAAGATATATCATGTAAATGGAAACCAGCAACAAGCTGCAGGAACCATATTGGTGTCAGATAAAATAGACTTTAAATTAAGAGCTGCAAAAAGGGAAAAGGATATCATATATTCATAAAAGGATCAATTCATCAAGATAATATAACATATATGAAAATATAGGCACACAAGACCGTACAAATACAGTAAATATTATTAGGGCTAAAGGGAGAGATAGATTCTACTACAGTAACACCAGGAGGCTTCAACCACTGACAGGCATCAAAGAAAAATCAGAGTTGTACCATATCATAGAGCAAATGGACCTAGGAGACTTTAAACATCATTTCCCCAACAATTATAGAGTACACATTCTACTCATCAGCACATGGAACATTTTCTAGGATAGACCCCAGATGAGGACACAAATCAAGACTCAGTAAACAAAAAATAAATGAACATCATGTATATTTTCAAGCCACAAAGGAAAACATTTAGAAATCAATTATGCAGGCCAGAGCTGTGGTGTAGCGGGTGAAGCTGCCTCCTGCAGTGCCAGCATCCCATATGGGAGCTGGTTCGAGTCCTGGCTGCTCCACTTCCGATCCAGCTCTCTGCTATGGCCTGGGAAAGCAGTAGAAGATGGCCCAACTCCTTGGGCCTCTGCACCCATGTGGGAAACCTGGAGGAAACTCCTGGATCCTGCCTTCGAATCAGCATAGCTCCAGCTATTGTGGCTAACTGGTGAGTGAACCAGCGAATGGACGCCCCCCACCCTCCGCTGCTTCTCCTCTGTGTAATTCTGACTTTCAAATAAATAAATAAATCTTTAAAAATATTAATTGTAACAACAGAAAATCTGCAAATACATGGAAATTAAACAACATGCTACTGAATGACTAATGGATCATGGAAGAAATTAAAGTAGAAATAAAAATTCTTGAAACAAATGAGAATATCAACAACACATATCAAAATCTGAGGACAGCCAATGCAGTATTCCGAGGAAGGTTTACAACAACAAGCTTCCCTTAAAATGGAAAGATCTCAAATAAATTATCTAATATTCATGTTAAAGACTTGGAAAAGCAAGAAAAACCATATCAAAAATTAGTAGGAGGTGAGAAATCAAGAGAATCAGAGCAGAAATTAATGAAACTCAAACAAAACTAACAACTCTTAAAATCAAAAAAAAAAAGGAAAAGATGGATTTTGAAAAATAAGCAAAACAGGTAAATCTTTAGCCAACTAACAAAGAAAATAGAGAAAAAACCTAAAATAAATAAAATTAGAGATGAAAAATGATACCACAGAAACACAAAGAATTACAAGTGACTCCTGTGAATGACTTTGTGCTATCAACTTAGAAAACCTTGAAGAGATGGATGAATTCCTGGGTGCACGCTATCTGCCAATATTACTTCAAGAAGATATAGAAAACCATAACAATGCGATTGAAGAAGTACCTAAAGTCTCCTGTCAAAGAAAGGTCCAGGACCTGATGTCTTTACAACTGAATTCTACAGAACATTTAGATAGGAACTAACTCCAATACTTTGCAAATTATTCCAAAACACTGAAAATGAAAGAATTCTGCTGAATTCTTTTTATGAGGCCAGTGTTACTCTGATACCAACACCAAACAAAGACATAACATAAAAAGTAAACTATAGACCAATATTCCTGATACACACAGATGTAGAAATGCTCAACAAAAGATTAGCAAACTGAATCCAACACTACATCAAAAAGATCATATACCATGATCAACTAGCATTTACCCCAGAGGTGCAAGTGTGGTTCAACATTCACAAACCCATAAATATAAGTCACAGTAGCAGACTGAAGAACACCATATGATCATCTTGATAGATGCAGAGAAATCATGACTCAGCATCCCATCTCTATAAAAACCCTCAACAAATTAGTTCTACAAGCAGCATATCTCAAAATGATACAGCTACATGTGTGTGCATGTATGTATATGACAAACTGGCAATCAGTATCATCCTGAATTCAGAACACTTGAAAGCAGATCCAGAACAAGACAAGGATGTCCAATTTTTACCACTCGTACTTGATATAGTGTTGAAAGTATGAGCATGGGCAGCGGGGCGCTGTGCTGTGGCGTAGTGAGTAAAGACACTGCCTGTAGTGCCAGTATCCCTTATGGGTGCCAATTTCTGTCCTGGATGCTTCTCTTCTGATTCAACTCTCTGCTATGGCCTGGGAAAGCAGTGGAAGATGACCCAAGTCCTTGGGCCCCTGTACCCACGTAGAAGACCCAGAAGAAGCGCCTGGCTCCTGGCTTCGATCGGCACAGCTCTGGCAGTTGCACCCATCTGGGGAGTGAACCAGTGGATGGAAGACCTCTCTCTCGCTCTCTCTCTTTCTGCTTCTGCCTCCGCCTCTGCCTCTCTGTAACTCTGCCTTTCAAATAAATAAATATATCTTAAAAATTAGAAAGTATTAGCATGAGCAATTACAGAATTGAAGAAACAATGAGCTTCAAATGTCACAGAAGATGAAACCAAATATCCATGTTTGCAGATGACATGATGCTGTACAGTGCTAGGTCATGCCTCTCATTCAAACTGTTACCTCAACTATATTGGAAACAGATCCTCTTAAGTCACTCAACTTACTTCACAAGGAGGGAATGATAATGTGTGGGTCTTGGAGTCAGTTTTGGAAACAAAACTTGGACTCTAAAATGACCATGCTTGGACACTGAAAAATATGTGTGTAGACAGCAGTACAGCATCACCTACAGTGTGGCATGGCTCACTTTGAAAATTCCATGGTGTCCTGTCGCCAGGGTAACAAGGTGAGTGACATCATCCTGCCATTCCAACTGTCACTCTCTTGAACTGAAAGGTTCAAACTTGAGTGAGGTGGGAACGTGTGTATCGCCCTATCCAGAGTGGTCCGCGATGGGAAATCTCAACTGCTGTCCAGCAGGTAGGCCACACTGACCTCCACAATGCTGCTTCTCCACCGGCCACTTACCTTCTGCTTAATCACTCTCCTCATGGACTGTCATTTCCCCATTCCAGGCTGTCTACAGATTTATAAAGATAGTTGGTCATCCACATTATTCAGTTTCTACTTTTGATGCTTCTGTTAAGTTTGTTGTTTCAAAATCTTTCCTAAATTTAGAGAAACACATTATTTCCAATGTCAAGTTTGTTTGCACCTTATCCAGAGAATGATGATTGGAAAGAAACTCACATTACTCTCATCAGTCAGGAAAAATTAAGACCAAACACAACACAGACATCACACAAAAAGGCACTTTCAAGCCAGCCTCTTCTGTCTGTAGAGGTCGCCATCTGAGACCAAGACTGTAAGAACAGTCTGAACCCAGATATCTTTTTGTCACATTGGAAGAAACTGGGATTTCAGGGTGGGGTGGATAAACACATGAACCCTGCTGTTTGGGAGTTACAGGGAAATGGGGAGGAGGGACAGCGCCATTGTTCAGTGGGGCAGACATCTGAAGACAGAGAGAAGGGGCCTGCCTGATGGTCCTCAGGCAGAATCATGGGTTGGAAGGGGCAAGCCTGGCGAAGGATGAACCTCACCAATGGGAGAGGGAACTGTGTATGCTGTCCCTGCAGGGTCTAGAGAGAGGTGAAGAGTTCCTAGGGACTGGGTTTTGGCGAGAAAGGTCATGGGCATGAAGGTGCAAACACAGAGTTGGTATAGACATTGCCTTTTTCAGACAGGGATTTGAGACTACTCAGCCACTTTCTCTGAAGGACAGATATTAAGTTTTCTGTGGCATTAAAATGTCATCTTAGACAGGGTAAATTACAAAGAAAGAAGACCCCCAAGCTCAGGATACTCAAGTCTAGGAGTCAAAGATCAGGTGCCCATATCAAGGGTCCCATGTTGTGTCCCATCATTGTGGAAAAGTAGAAGAGCAAGCAGAGTGACAGAAGAGAGACAGGGAGAGGGGTTGGGCTTGTGTTCTAGTGACTCTCCCCCGTATTAACCAATTCAGTACTGAGAACCACACTGCAAGATCCGCCTAGAGGATGGCTCTGCACTATGGAATGGGAAAACTGGGAAGAAAGTGAGGAACTCTAATGATCACACACTTCCCTGTGGTCTCCTGTCAGTGGGATGTCAACAGCTGTCTGTATTGTCATACTGTTCCAGGATCATGTCTAAAGAGTTTTAGACGAAAAGGAAGTCGGAGGTCAAGAACATCGACTGTCCATTCCACACAGAAGGTCAGAAAAATCCGTGTCTTGCCAAAGAACAGGATGCCCCCAACAAAGGAATCAGTTGAAGGTACTCTGCAAATTCAATCATGAAGCTCATTCAACAATCAGATTCTGCTTTATTCAGGGCCTCATAGTTAAGACAAAACTCTTAAAAAGCTATGCTATCTGTGTCTTTCATTCCATGACTGCAAAATTAGAATTGGTCAACTCAATCAGCAGGGTGACCACTACACAGGGAAGACATGTTAACAACTTAAACTTGGGGTCACTGTTAGTAGTAACATCTCAAGGTATTGTTCAGACATTTGCCCGATTGTGCAACATGGGCTGAAATGGACATCTTACTGAGAGAGTGCCACCAGATTTCATGCTAATATTAACAATTGGAGATAAAATAGGAAAACTGAACAGATAGCTCCTAAAGTTCTCATACTGGACTCCCACTTCCCTTTTTCTGATGACACTTCCATTAGTAGGGTACATTTGTTATGGAGACTGAACCAATAAAGAAATGTTATCATTGACTCAACTCCCAAGTCTGCACTAAGGTTGGTTCTGGTGGTACAGTCCTAGGAGTTATTCATCTTTACTCATGTTTCCAGAACCTTTGAATGACCCCAGAACATGACCCTAGAACTGGCCATTTTAAATATCTGATTAGTCATTCTTTTTCACAATTTCATAGAGTTGGAATTAGATTTGGTAACTTACATAAGAATTCTTCTGCTCCTTTTTGTGGCTTGACTGCTCAATGATTTTCATCACTGAGTTATACCCCCTTGGATAGATGGGTCAATGTTCTTGGTCCTGGTTTCCAATTTAAGCAATCAGGAAGAAAGCCACCAGAAACAGTCATGTGGCAGGGTTCTGTGGGGACAAAGTTTTTTAAATTAATTGGGTAAACACCTAGGACTATGGCCCCTTGCTTGGATGGGGATGACATTTTTCTTGGTAAAACTGACTGGAGTTCACCAATGAAGCCACATGGCCCTGACACCTTCTTTCGCCTTTTGTACCTGTAAAGTTCTCTTCAAAGGCTCGGGCCCATGGGTTAGTTTGGGTAGTTTCTGACTCTGAAGGAATTTCAGGCTTCGTTGAACCTACTTGTGGGCATACAGTATGTAAAGTACTTTTTTCTTTCCTTTTCCTGTCCATGCCATGAAAGGTGAGGATTCCCTTCTCATTTGCAGTAGCAGACATTGTTTCTTCTCTTTTTGCCTTGTGCTTAGACAGGCGGAGGTTTCACAATCTTATGCATTTTTTTCAAAAAAAATATTTTTTGACTTTTTGTTTTATTCTGCCCATTTCCTATTTCCTATTACATTCATTTCTGAGAAAATTGCTATTTTTTCATTTTTTATCTAATTTACATCAGATTGCTTTTCTACTTACAACCTACTTTTCTAGGTTGTAAGAATCCCTTATTGATTTTAGATCATCATTGTTTTCTAAAGTATTTCACTCAAGGGCTCCATTTTCCTTCTGAGCACTGCTTCATTGCAACCCAAAGTTGCAAAAGGAGTTTTTATTTGCTTCGTTCAAAATAGTTTAAAATGTCTATACAGTCTTCTTTGTCCCATTTGTTTTGGAGAGTATGTTATTTAGCTTCCATAGTTCTTGCAAAATTTACCAAGTAATCTTCATTGCATTGATTGAACTCTATTGTATTACCATAGTTGCCCAGTGGCACAAGCTGTGTGACATACATTACTTTAAGTGGTTGTGCGGCAGAGCTCATACTTTGATCTGCCTTGGAGACTTCTTCATATGAACCTGAGAAGAATGTGTTTCTCTCATGGCTGAAATGTCTCTACACGCCAATCAAAATAGTTAGTTGAGGGTTAATAATTTTCTTGGGCTGCCATAATCAAGTGCCTGGTTGGTTGGTCAGTTTGAAGTACATGACATTTTATTTTCCCACAGGTCTGGAGATTGGGTGTCAGAAATCTAGGTTTATGCATAGTCACCCTCCCACAGAAACCCATCAGGACTAATCTTTCCTGTCCCTTCCCGGCTTCTGCTGGTTTCCTGGAAATCCTGGGCCTCCTGTGTGCCTACCATAGCACCTGAATTTCTGCCCCCATCATTTCATGGCATCCTTCCATCTTGGACCTGTTTCCTCATCTTGTAAAAATGCCAATCATAGTCATATGGGAACAAGTCCTTGCTACTCCAATATGAATTCATATTAACTGGATAATCCTCCAATGACTCCATGCCTAAATAAGGTCACCTTCACAGGTCCTTCAAGTGAAAGGGGTGGGAACATGCTGAAGCCCTCATACTGCTGTTCATTTCAACTCCACCTGGCTTGTTTCATTCCTGCTCAATCTGTCAATTTTCAATAGTAGTGAATTTGTGCCCCCCCATGCCACTCTACTGGAGGTCTCTGACTCTAATAAACCTTTTATATTTTAAGATTTATTTATTTATTTAAAATCAGAGTTACACAGAGACAGAAGGAGAGGCAGAGAGAGAGAGGAATCTTCCATCTGCAATTGGCTGCAGTGGCTGGAGCTGGGCTCATCTGAAGCCAGGAGCTTCTTCCAGGTCTCCCACATGGGTGCAGGGGCCCAAGGACTTGGACCATCTTCTACTGCTCTCCCAGGCCATAGCAGAGAGCTGGATTGGAAATGGAGCAGCCTAGTCTCAAGCCTGCACCCATATGGGATGCCAGCACTGCAGGTGGCTGCTTAACCTGCTACATCACAGTGCAGCCTCCTCTAATAAATCTCAAAAAAAAAAAATACTGAATTTGTCTATCTGCCCTTGTAGTTCCATCCATTTTTGCCTCAAGAATTCTGAGGCTCTACTATTAGGCAAGTGCACAGTAAATATTGATCTAGACTGTTCAACAACATTTGCTTTATTACAGAAAGTCCATATTTGTCACTAATACTGACCTTATTCTGAGATCTGACTATAAGAATAAATTAGAGCTAATGGCTTTAATGGCTGGAGCTGTGCTAATCCGAAGCCAGGAGCCAGGCACAACTTCCTGGTCTCCCACGTGGTGCAGGGACCCAAGGACTTGGGCCATCTTCCACTGCTTTCCCAGGCCATAGCAGAGAGCTGGACTGGAAGAGGGGCAGTTGGGACTAGAACCAGTGCCCATATGGGATGCCAGCGCTGCAGCCAGAGGATTAACCTACTGTGCCATGGTGCCAGCCCCTATGTTGGCTTTTTTGAGGTAGTCTCTCCCTTTCTGTCACACTCTGTGTATCACCAAAAAGTGGACGGCAGATGATGAAGCAGGTATCTCTCTGTACCTAAGTGTTCACAGCAAGCAGAAAACAGAAACAACAGAATCTGGATTATTTCCCAGTATCCAACAACAAACAGATGAGTAATGACAATGTGGTATATGAACACACTGGAAGAGTTTTAATATGTAAAAGTGAATTTACGTTTTATACCAGACCAGGGATGGACATGGTAACACCTGACACTGTAATAAGGTGGACACAGAAAGACAAACACTGTAGGTTTTAATACAATGGCATGTCTACAACAGGCAAATTCAAAGGACTGGAAGTACAGATTAGTTGGGGATGGAAGGAGGAGAAGGTAAAGTTCTTCCTTTATAGATGCAGAGTTTAGACTGGGTATGATGAAAACTGTTGGGGCACACAGGGGTGGTGCTTACACAGCACTGCCAAGTAATTCATGCCACTGAAATTTTCACTTACAAGTGATTCAGATAATAAATGTCTACTTGCCCACAGCAATTTAAAAATACCTGAAAGGAAAGATGGCAAATGTAATAGCTGCTTATGTAGATTCATGGAGGTAAATGATCTTGGGACACAACAAGAAAAATGTGGGGATTTCCATGGGCTACATTTTGGGCATTTCCACGCCCATTTTGCACAGGAGCAATGATGAGACATCATCAAGGAATCAGTGCACTATGGCATTTGCCTATTTCTAAATTGACTGTTTTGTAATGATTTGGTTGCTGGTAGTAAGAAAGCCAAAACTCTCCTTCTCATTTCTTTCCTGCTCCTCTTCTTGGGCTTTGTCATCCACCAGGGAGGATGGCCCAGCAGTGGCACGTGTGCAGTTCCAAGCCCACATCAGGTGGCCTTCCTGCTACTTGTGGGTGCAGGGCTGGCTTGTCTTTTTCTTGCTCTGTTACTGAGTGCAGCACAGAACTCTTGACATTGTTCACTGCTCACCAACCATCCCCACCTAGCCTAGGCCCATGTCCACAGCAAGCAAGTCTCCCTGCGGAACTCATCCACAACACCTGACAGTTACCCCGTGGTTCTCCTAGCTGCTCCTGAGGACCTGGTGGAAGCGATTCCAAGAGACAGAGCAGAGGAGGAGGTCACATCTCTTGGCAAGGTATGACTGGGGTTTTTGGTCACAGAAAGAAATGTTCCTGGTATACAATCACTAGTCTTATTTACTTACTTATTTGAAAGGCAGAGTTGCACAGAGACAGGGGAAGAGAACAAAAGATCTTCCATCTAGTAGTTTACTCCCCAGATGCCTGCAAAGGCCAGAGTTGGTCCAGGCCAAAGCCAGGAGTCCAGTGCACTATCCAGATCTCCCACATGAGTGATAGGGGACATTCTCCATGCCTCCGCAGGCACAACAGCATGGCATTGTATTGGAAGCTGAGCAACCAGGATGCAAACTGGCACTGCAGGATGGACTACTGGCACTGCAGGATGGACTGCTGGCACTGCAGGCAGCAGTTCCGTTCACTGTGTCACAACATCAGGCCCAGGCAACGTTTTTCTCAGATACGAAAATCTGAACGCCTATACTGAAGATGACTTCCACAGTTTATTTGGTGGGGAAAGCCCAGGGCATGTCTGTTATAAAGTGAGACATGACTCAAGAGGGTCTCCTGTAATCACAGCATCAATTACAAGTGATGTGGTGCTGGGCGTTTTCCATAGGAGCAGTTCTGCATAGTTTAAATATTTTATGATTTAAAAGATTTATTCATTATTTGAAAG